GTAACTGTTATTTATTGAGCATCTACTATGCATCAGGTGTGTGCCATTTTAATCACTAGGTATTAAATAAAGCAATGTCCCTGCTCTCAATCCTCCTACACCGAATTGGGGGGAGTCAAACAATAAGCTAGTGTGTAACATGCTCTCAGGTGATAACAGTGTTATGATGAAAACAAAGCTTGCCAGGCACAGTGGCTCACACCTGTAATCCTAGCAGTCTGGGAGGCCAAGGTGGGCGGATTGTCTGAGTTTAGGAGTTCCAGACCAGCCTGAGCCAGAGAGAGATCCCATCTCTAAAAGTAGCCGGGTGTTGTGGCAGGCACCTGTAGTCCAGCTACTTGGGAGGCTGAGGCAAGAGAATTGCTTGAGCCTGAGAATTTGAGGTTCCTGTGAGCTATGCAGCTCCAGCAGTCTTCCAAGGGTGACAAAGTGAGACTCTTGTCTCAAAAAAAGAAAAAAAGAAAATAAAGCTTGTTGAGGAGATGGTCAGTGATGGGTGGGCAGGCTGCCTTAGCAGGGTGGCAAGGAGGGCTTCTCTGGTGAGGTGACATTTCAGCAGAGATCTGCGTAAGCTGAATATGCTGGTGATGTGGGCTGGGCTTCTGCAGCTTCTGCAGGGCTGGTTGGCCCTTCTCTCCTCTCACACATTGAACCTTTCATCCAACAAGGTGTAGGGGGCCCCTGCTCAGTGCTTGGCCGCATTAGAGACAAGAGTGTGGAGGGGAAGACAGCTCCATTCTGAGGGCCAGGTGCTCCTGGACTCATGTCTGGCTGCATCTCCTCTTGGTTCCCAGGTGGCACTTGAGCTGGTGGTTGGTGGCACAGTCAGGAGCAAGATGTGCCTCTCTTTGTATCTAGTTGAGTGATCACAGTGACACCAGGAATAGGGCAGACATCCAGGAACCACAACAAACAGGGGGACCTGCCCTGTGGGAAAGCAAGCTGGGAGCCCGGGCCACATTAGAGCATCCACATCTGGGCTGTGCAGAGAGAAAGTGCAGGAATCAGGCTCCTGGGTGGAGCTCCAGCTTCTCCCTAAGGAATCAGCTGTGTGACCTTCCTGGCCCTGTGTCCTGCTCTGTGAGACAGGGCAGCCATGGACCTTTGGGTAGGACCCATGAAAAGTACCCAGGTGTCCCTGTGGTGGGACTTCTGTGTCCAGGGGGTTGGTTCTGGAGTGGCCAAACTCTGGGTCTTCCCCTCACTAAGGGAAGGTGATGGGGTGGCTGCTAATGGGCCTGCCTGTGTGCCCAGGTCGTGAAGGAGCTCCTGTCCCAGGGGGTTGACCCCAACTTGCCCCTGACCAAAGGCTTGGGCAGTGCCCTGTGTGTGGCCTGTGACCTGAACTATGAGCACCAGAGGAGTGTGGATGGCAAACTGGCCCTGGTGAGGAGGAGGGGGAGGACTGAGGGCTGGGGGAGGGGGAAAGGGTGGGCTGGGGGAGGGGATAGGTTGGGGAGGGGAAGGCTGGGGTCTGGGGAAGGGAATGGGCTGGGGGAGGGGCGGGCTGGCTGCTGTGGGGCCCCAGGGTCTGGGGCTGTGCCTCCCTTAGTGGACCCCTTTGTCTTGTCCTTGTTCCTGGCAGGTGGTGGATTGTTTTTGCTCGCCAAGCCTTGGTAGTCTAAATGGTTGAGAAAGGACAAAATACTGCCTTGCCTTTAATATTTTATATTCTTTAAAAAATGGGAAGTGGCAAAATCACTCAACAGGCCAGGCCAGTTCCCCAGAGCTTGTCTCAGTGAAAACAGTCTTCAAAATAGATACAGGCCCTCACTGTAGTGGCTGCACAACTCCAGCTTTGTCTGTGTCCCAAGTTAAGTGCCAGAAGCCTGGCACGGCACCTGCTGACAGGGAGTCCGGGCCTTGTTTCCTCATGGGGAGGAGGGTGGCCTTCTTTTCTGTCCTTGCCAACCTGACAACCCAGAAGCCGCTGAGCCCCAAACCTGTGTTAAGGCAGCACTTTCTGTGCTGAGTCCCTCTGGCTCCTACCCACTGGGGCACATCTCTCGGGCGTCCTTCCCACCCCCTGGCTCTGGAAACCTCTGTGGGCTGTGCCATAAGGGTTTCTGGCTCTGTGCCAACCCCTCCCCTGCCTGCAGTGCCCCATGCACTACCCCCAACCCCATGTCCCCAAGTCATCTTGGTCTATGCTCTGGTTCCCAGCTAGCTGGTGGGGGTGAGCCAGGCACCTAGAAGGCTGATGGACTTCACAGCATGACTTTCCTTCCAAGAGCCTATTTCCTGGTCCTGCTTTTAGGACCTGTCCTCTGTCCTGAGATCCTGCCCTCCTCAAGGCAGAGCAGGTGTGGGGCACCGCCTGCTGCTCCTGGGTGGTGTAGGAGGAGACAAGGTTATGCTTGTAGGTGCCCGCGCAACTCTGGACTTCCCCATGTGCCCTCTGGGCTTCAGGGGACCAGGACTGATGTCCAGTCTCTCGTGCATCTGTCTGTCTGCACGAGTAGAGAAGAAGGACCCAGACACGGGGAGGCTCTGGGAGCACCAACTTCATCTCTGCAGAATCTGGAGTGGAGGAAGCTGAGTGGTGGTGTGGGGCAGAGGAGCCACTAGAGCAGAGGTTCTCAACCTTCCTAATGCCGCAGCCGTTTAATACAGTTCCTGTGGTTCGCGACCCACAGGTTCAGACCTGCTGCACTAGAGCCTCGTCCTGGGTCAGGGTCCCAGGCGGCCACCCTCCAAGCCAGATGGCCTTTGACCCCCACCTTGCTTTCTCAGGCACCTTGTATATTTTTGCCTCAGACCTGAAATCAGCCGACCATCTTTTTTCCCATTTATTTAATTACTATTTATTACTATTTTTGAGACTGACAGAAAAATGGAAAGAACAATTATAATGACACCATATCCCTCACCTAGATTCACCAGCTAACATCTTACTGTACTAGCCCACCACTGTCTCTGCGTCTGTGTGTGTGTCTCTCTGTCTCTGTGTGTCTGTGTCTGTTTCTGTCTCTCTCCATGTCTGTCTCTCTGTGTCTGTCTCTATCCGTGTCTGACGATCTCTCTCCATGTTTGACTATTTCTCTCTCCCTCTCTGCATCTGTCTCTCTCCATGTCTGATTGTCTCTGTGTCTGACTGTCTCTCTCTCGGTGTCTGTCTCTCCCCATGTCTGATTGTCTCTCTCTGTGTCTGTCTCTGTTTGCATCTCTCTCTCTCTTTGTCTGACTATCTCTCTCCCTGTCTGTCTCTCTCCATGTCTATCTCTCTCCATGTCTGACTGTCTCTCTCTGTGTCTGTCACTCTCCATGTCTATCTCTCTCCATGTCTGACTGTCTCTCTCCGTGTCTGTCACTCTCCATGTCTATCTCTTTCTGTGTCTGACTGTCTCTCTCCGTGTCTGTCTCTCTCCATGTCTATCTCTCTCCGTGTCTGACTATCTCTCTTCCTGTCTGACTGTCTCTCTCTGTGTCTGACTCTCTCCATGTCTGACTCTCTCCATATCTGACTGTCTCTCTCCATGTCTGTCTCCATGTCTATCTCTCTCCATGTCTGACTGTCTCTCTCCATGTCTATATCTCTCTGTGTCTGACTGTCTCTCTGCATTGTCTCTCTCCATGTCTGACTGTCTCTCTCCATGTCTGACTGTTTCTCTCTGTCTGACTCTCTCCATGTCTGACTGTCTCTCTCCGTGTCTGACTGTCTCCATGTCTATCTCTCTCCGTGTCTGACTGTCTCTCTCCATGTCTATGTCTCTCTGTGTCTGACTGTCTCTCTCCGTGTCTGACTGTCTCCATGTCTATCTCTCTCCGTGTTTGACTGTCTCTCTCCGTGTCTGACTGTCTCCATGTCTCTCTCCGTGTCTGACTGTCTCTCTCCGTGTCTATGTCTCTCTGTGTCTGACTGTCTCTCTGCATCTGTCTCTCCATGTCTGACTGTCTCTCTCTGTGTCTGACTCTCTCCATGTCTGTCTCTCTCTGTGTCAGACTGTCTCCATGTCTATCTCTCTCCATGTCTGACTGTCTCTCTCCGTGTCTATATCTCTCTGTGTCTGACTGTCTCTCTGCACCTGTCTCTCCATGTCTGACTGTCTCTGTGTCTGACTCTCTCCATGTCTGACTGTCTCTGTCCATGTCTGACTGTCTCTCTCTGTGTCTGACTGTCTCTCTGCATCTGTCTCTCCATGTCTGACTGTCTCTGTGTCTGACTCTCTCCATGTCTGACTGTCTCTGTCCATGTCTGACTGTCTCTCTCTGTGTCTGACTCTCTCCATGTCTGACTGTGTCTCTGTGTCTGACTCTCCATGTCTGACTGTCTCTCTCCATGTCTGTCTCTCTGTGTCTATCTCTCTCTGTGTCTGACTATCTCTCTCCATGTCTATTTCTGTATCTGACTCTCTCCATGTCTGACTGTCTCTCTCCA